AAAGGGCTTGATATAATTTTTGGGGGCCCTTTTTTTTTTTCCCCCCCCCCCCCCCCCATACACACACCTGCACATGCAGAATTGTTGCTCATAATTAGTTTAGAGAGAGCGGGTCTAGAAATTTTTCCTGTCTTTCATCCTTCTTCCTTCCTCACTCCTGAAACTCTCTGGAGCTTTGCAAGCTTTGCTTGAAGAGTTAAGTAACATTTTCAGCCTCTTAAAAAGCTGTAATGAAAGGATGCTGGGAGCACAGCAAACCAAAAGTGAGAACAAAGGCACAGCTTTCAATGCATAGACACTGCCTTCCAGTTCCACTTGAGAGCAATGCTCTGGTTGTTTGCATCTTGGCACATTAATCCAGGGGTGCCCAGCCCTGGCAACCCCAAATTGCATAGAAGAATACCCAAATGGAGGAGAGGTACTCGGGGAAGAAGCTGTGTCTAATTGCAGGAGGGAGGATCCTGCCTTAGCTCCATATGGAGAATATTCCCTGCTGGAAACTTCCCTGGGCCCAATCTTGCTCCTCTCTGATGTCCCATGGCAAAATCCCCCTTGGCTTCAGTGGCAAATTTTGCAGCCAGGGGGTTGATGGGTCTCCTGTGAGATTTGAGCTCATGTTTTCAGTGAGAAGATGTGGTGAAACGTCCTGCAGCTCACACAGCTGATGTGGAAGGAGGGAAAAGCCCCTCAAAAGCACAACATGAGAAGGAGCCTGCTCCTGGTGGGGCAGCAGACGTGTTAACTAGTTGCACCGCATGCCCTGGTGCGTGTCACCAACACCATGAAATGGGATTTGTTGTAGGCAGATACATTGATCAAACAAGAACCAGTGGGTTATTTGGGTGCCCTTCTTAGCTCTGATGAAGGGGGACTTTTTTTGTCAATTCTTGGACTTTCCCTGAGCTCTGCCCTGTAACCCCATTAACCTTCTGTGAAGTCCCCAGGAATTGCCTTGCCAAAAGGAAGTGTTTGGCCAGAAAATAGCCCGGGCTTCATAAACCAGATGTGTCCTAACATGGTTTCTGCAGCTCTCTCTTCTTCAGGCTTCCCAACACCACCCCAACTATCCTCCTCCAACTCCCTGCTGCTGCCTGGGCTTTTGCCCAGCCTTTCTTGGTCTCTGCTCTTCCCAGCACATGCACTAGGATCATCTTCCTATCATCTTCCTTTGCCATCAAGACCTGATCTTCCTGTAGGTGTTGCACCCACTCTTCTGAAATTATTTTTTTAATATTCATGCCTTTCTGATGCAGTTCTTTACCATTTTGCTAAGGTCAGATATTGGAAGGTAGGTGGTCATGTGGTGTCCCTCTTTAGCCTACATTATTGCGTAGCATTTAAGGCCTGTGCTGGATGTGCCATGTGTTCATAGCGAAGTTTGCTGTAGCCAGGGATTTTGCAGGAGCATGGGAATTGCAGGGATTCCTCCTTTTGCTGTTGTTTGTGCCAGCTGTACTCTTGCTCCGGTGCCATCCTGGCAAGAAAAGGGCCTTAAGCAGTTTTGTTGTTTAAAAAATAAGGCATACGTGGCAAGGGTGAGCATCAGATCTCTCTGATAGCTGGAGCTGACTCTGATAGGCATCATGGTGTGTTGTACAAGGCAGGCTGAGGGCACATGCAAGACCTCAATACTGGATTTCAAGGCTGGGACAGCATGACCGAGGTACCTGTGTCCAGTCATTGGCTACAGAGGTGTGGAAGTGGATGAGACATGAGAGCAATACGCCCAGGGGGCTGTCTCCAGCAGAGAGCTTCCTGACATCCACTTCCTCATGGCCAGGTGGGCTTTGCAAGGAGCCATGGGGAGAGGGGACCATGTGGAGTGTGTTAGCAGATGTGAAAAATCAGTGGGTACATGGATTGCCTTGACTGAGCTATGTGACCTTGCCTGCAGAGTCGTTGGAACTGTAATGCAGCAGGGAACATGAATGGGAGACACTGGGGGCTTTAGACCAAAGTGGGGTCATCACTGTCTTACCTGGAATTGCAGCTGAATGGGTCTTGTGAACCTAAAGTCATCAGGCCTATGCTGGAGAAAGGGAGCAGCTCGGGTTCATCTCAGAGGGATGCAACAAGAGGGAAAACATGGGTGGCCATCATGTTCTCCCAGGTAGTTTGAAGGACCAGCACCTTCAGTTTGTCTTGGTCAGAAGCACCCAGGTCTCTGCAACCAGTGGGTTCTTTGTATCAGTGCATGCTTCCTTCCCATCTGGTGGAGGCACCAGTTACACTCCTTGGCCTCCCCTTACCTGTTTTGCAGCCCAAAATGCTGTCTGTGCCCATCCTGCCTTTGTCCTCGGTACAGAGCACAGAGCTGGGGGCCTGGATGGGACCCCCAGTGTGGCAGGGGAGCACCCCGTGTTCAGCTCTGCAGTGTTTCCTTAAGCAGAAACGAAAGCTTGGGAGGCTTTTTTAAAAAAAGCTTTCTCTTTCTTTCTTCCCAGTATAATGAGTTTGCTGCTGCTGCCTTAATTTGGAGCTAATATGTAATGTTTGTAACACAGCCAAGAAACATTGCTGTTCTTGAGGCAGACTGCAAAAAGTATCTCATGCTAACACTGGTGTTTTAAAATTTATCCCTGTTCAAAGGTAACATGAATCTTTAAAACTAATATCACTTGTACTTAAAGAACATAAACACGATAAACCAGTTTGGCACTGGCTTATTTTTCTTTTCCTTCTCTTAAGGAGGCTACACTACATTTGTGCTCACTGAGAAGCAAAATTTTCCAGAGCACTCAGCTAGCACATTTTCTCTGCTCCCTTGCTGGCCCATCAACATTTTTTTAGAGTTCCAACATCTTTCTGCTCTTCATGCTTCTTGGCTACTATTGTCCTGAAGGTACATCTGTATCTTTTTACATGCTGAGGCCAGATTCTCATCCTGATCTGGGATAACTCTCCCTGTTGATTTAAAAGGAGCTACTCTAGATTTATACTGGCAGTACTGAGACAAGAACCTGGTCATGAACTTTTCATCACAAACCTGAAATGCAAACACCCTGTCTACATCTATGAGAGTCATTTAGCTGGAAAGCATTTCTATGTCATTTATCTTAACTGCAGCAGGTAGCAATTTAACTGTCACTCCACACATGCCAAAGCCTTCTCAAATGCATCTGCTCACCAGCTGATATCCTCCGTGGTAGAAATGGGCCTGTTCAACTCAGTCTTTGCTTTCTCAGGTGTCCCCTTCTGGACCCGGCCAGATAAGATGGAGAAGAAGCTGCTGGCAGTTCCTGCCGCCAACACAGTTCGCTTCCGATGTCCGGCAGGTGGAAACCCAACTCCTTCCATCTACTGGCTGAAAAATGGCAAGGAGTTCAAGGGAGAGCACAGGATTGGGGGCATCAAGGTAAGGCCTTGCTTTGGTTCTCTGTTTTTATCAGGAGTTTTCTACTGATTGTAGAAAATTGTGGTTCACAGTGATTAATATTGGTATGTGTAAGGGCATGGTCCTGACTGTGTGGGAATGGGTGTCTGGTAGCCTTAGCAATTGCTCAACACCAAAGTGTTAAGAAAGGCTGCTGTCCCTTGGGATTGAGGGCTAATTCCCTCTGAATTCATCTATATTGGTCATTCAGGTTCTAAGTAAAAATGAGGCTGGTCTTACAGTTGCGTTGTGGACGGTGATGAGAAAGCAGGAGCAGAAACTTCTGTCCTAATTTCTGGAGATCAGCCCAGTGCGTTGAGTAATGTTAGAAGGAGCCGTAGCTACGCCCAGCTTTCAAGGAAAACAGACTCTGCATCCTTTGAAGGTGTAGGAAGGACCTCACCAAAGAGCTGGGCCGTTGTGCTGGTGGTCATTAACATTCTTGTGGTATAAATCACTGACCCTTGGTCAAGTGTTAGATTCCCTTATAGCCAGAGTAATAGCATCTGTTATTTGGCTGCTCTCTTCTCCCTCCTTCCTTTCTACCATAAGGTGTTCTGGAAAATGCTCTGGCTTTTGTACACTGATGGAGCTAAGGGACACAAAAACCCACAGCACTCTATTTAATTACCCAGAAGCTTCTGTGCTACTGTATGTGATGAATTATGGCAGGATTTTAACAGGAAAATCAGCTATTCTCTGATTCTGCTGTTGTTGTTGTTACTTTGTCCCCTTGAGGTCACAGTCAGACTCCTTTCTGGTTTTATTTGGGGAGAATAAAACTGGTAGCAGTTGATTAGTTTCAGCCAGCTCTCTGCCAGGCCTGGTGTATCCCTCTTCTACCACTGAGGAAGGCAGCTTCATCAGTACCCTGAATAGCTGTGTGCTACCACATCTGTAGTGCTTTGAAAGGGAGCTAGGCATGCAAAGCGTGCTGGGTTCCAGAAACCAGAAGAGTATTCAAAAAAAGTCTTCCCTCCCTGCAGTTTTGGACTGTTAGCTTTCCTGTTAGCTCAGACCCGTTCCTGAAAGAGCCTTTTGTGATTGCTTCAGTGAAGCCTTTGAAGCTCCCTCATCAGCCCTGTTCCTCCTCCAGCCTGGACGAGGCTGAAGACATGCTCAGGTTTGGAGCTTCTGAAAAGTTAAGGAGGAAAAAGAAGTGGGAAAGCAAATCCTGTGAGTAAACAGCCTTACAACAGCAGATAACACTTGCAAAGCACACGCATCTTTTACTAATTGCAGGCTGTAAGGATCATCATGAAGTGTTTTCAGGCTTGCGTGCGCCATTCAAATGGCTTTTTACAAAACTATGTGACATCAGCTGCACTAAATTATGCTTGCAGAAAAAACAAAATCAAGCTGAAAGCAATTCCACATCCCACTTCCCAGTGGTTTTAATCTATCCTTGAGTTTAAATTGACAAGTTTCATCTTCTGCAGCACGGTAGTGTAGTGAGTCGTTGGCATCGCTGTGCTTTGTTTCTCTAGAGGCACCTTCCAGCAACAAGCTGATGCTTAAAGAGCTCTTGAAGGCAGTGTCAGGCCAATTACAGCAAGATTGGTTTAAGGTCTCTATCTGTCTAGGTGTAGTTCTTTGTCCCTTTCTTGGTATAAAGACATCTTTCTCTCCCTGTGATTTTCCTTCCCTTATTTGCTTGCCTTAGCTCTTGAATTGTGGTTAGATGTTAAGTAGTCTAATGTAAACCTCATCCAGTATAAATATACTGATAGATATCAGCAGAGATTTGAACCAGAAAAAGAGATTGAAAACCTGCTTGGTATCTCATGTATTTAAGATTTAAATTCCCTGTTACGACTTAACGTCATAACAGGATTAGGCAGCTTGAAAAGCATGGACAAGATCCAGATCTGGCAGAGTTTGGTTGGCTTGCTTCATCTCAAGATCTGGTCTTAACCCAGAAATCCTTGAGCTGGGAATGTTCTCATTTGTTTTCAGTGTGTGGAAGAGTTTAAACATCGATTGTGAAAGGTCTGTGGTCAGCAGATGACAGCTGACCACTCTTCCACTTCTGAATCTTGCAAATGGTATTTGGATCCCAATGAGATTGCCAGGTGTAAAGTCTGCAAGAGAGAAGGGCGAGGGTTGAAAACATGAAGTCCAGGCTAACCTAGTTTTGTTAGTTCATCCTTAACTGGTAAAGAAATTCATATGACTTATCATATGAAATTTCCCAAAGAGCATTAATGGTTAAATCCTTGTTGGAATCCCTAATATTGTAAGCCTGTGTGTGTTAAATGACCCTAGAAGGGAAGTCTGAGGGGGAGGGGAGATAGAGGATTATCCCTTCCCCAGACCATTGCACTGACTTGCATACCAGTCTGGCAAACACGGACTGAGGTTCCAAGTGTGTCTGCAAATGTTTGTTTCACAAGGAGCCAAGAATGACAACAGCAAATAAACCAGAGGGATTTCCAGTATCTTACCGACTTGATTAATGCCTGCACTAAGTCACTTCACGTTTCTAGTGTTTTATCAAGTACAGCAACTATCCTAACTTGGAAACTGCCCTTTTTATTATCATTTCAATCTAGACACCAGTCTCAACCTAAAAAAAATTACCTTGTTGCTTCTAGAAGAATTTCCAAACAAGGTCTGTCCCATGAGTCAGTGCCCCCCAGGTTCTCCTCTCTCTTCAGAGTCCAAAGTCCCCACCACAAACATGACAAAGAGTTATTTGAAATTACCATGAAAGTATCTTTGAAAGTACATCCTAAATCAAACACCTAATTTCTAATACAGGTCAGACTAGGGAGGCATCTGTGTATCTGGAGCCCCATTTCTTTGGCATAGCTCCTAGGGGTTCTAGAGGCAAATGCTTTGCAATGCTGAAAAGTGGATTAAAAGAACTCTTAGACAGAGCTATGAGACAAGCCAGTATGGCACTGAGCCACTGAACAGCCACAAATTAGCATTGAAACTTCCTTGACAGTCTGGTATGTTCAGCTGTGAGCTCAGGATCCAGGCTCTCTCTTCTCAGAGCTCCCCTTACCCTGAATTTGCGGTTCTGTCAGAGATGCACCAAGTGAGGTGTTGCTTTACAAAAGGTGTCATGTTGGGTCTGCACTGAGCTCTGTGTGTCCTCAGTGGGCAGAGGGTGCAGTCACACCTGACCAGGCATCTGCAACAGCCAAGGTACATACCTATTACCTATGACACATACCTCCTATTTCCTATAACCAGAAATGACAGGAAATGCTGTACTCAGCAGTCTCTGAAAAGTGGGGTGCTCAGCAGGGCTGCTCCCGAGAATGCAGAGAGCTACTCAGCAAGGGGCTTTGTTAAAATGGCTTTTGCTTGCTTTTCTTGCAACTAAGCTGTCTAGTGCTATGACTTTACCTTCTCTTTGCAAAATCCTGCCTTTAATTGCAACTTGGCCCTTGAAAGGTGAGCATGTGGATGCAATTTATGTGTAGCAAAAGAGGTTACATAACTTGATATTGGAGTTCACCTGCTGCAGAAAGAAACCTGCAGGAACAATTACACCCTTGTTTTTTCCATCAGCCCTTGACATTCTGTAGCACAGCATTATTGTAATCTCCTGTTTCTGTGTCCTTGGAGTCACCTTAAAAACGTTTAATAAAGTTAAATGTTCTGCTCAGGGCAGCAGAAAGCATCAAATTAGTATCCAGAGATTTGGAGAGCTTTGCATCCTGAAATCATCTTTATTAGTGTTGGTTGCTCTCTGTATTAATTCAAGATTTGCTTTTCATATCCGTTATTTCCTTTGTACTCATTAGAAACAAAACTTCTAGCTGGAAACATAGGGCAGCAGGTCAGAGTGGAGACTTTGGTTGTGCTTTCCTTTTGCTGCTGGACAACCAACAGTTCTGGGTATGAGCCACATCTAAAAAAAAAACAACTAGGATAAAACTTCGCGCCTAAAGAACAGGGCTGACCAGGCACCTTTGGGACTGGACTTGTGCCTGGGCATGTTTTCTTCTGTTCTTTACAGAGTATTAAGAGGACTAACTCAGTTGTAAACACTCATTTGTCTTCAGGCAGATGCCATGCACTGTTCCCTTCATAGCACGCATCTTTAAAATACATTATAGATGAGGGACAAAGTATCTTTATTGTTTCTAGTCTCCTTATGAGTTACGTGTAGCAATTGGTAAATATGTGCAGATGCAGTGCAGTACTTTGAGCTTACAGTCTCTAGACCAGAGTAGTCTGGCAGAGGACATCTGAGTTATCTTAGCTGATGCTTTCAGAAGCCATTATTCTAATGAGAGGTGCCACATTCATCTGTCAGCTGGTTTCATTATTGTTATTGTTGTGGAAGCATCTACAAGTCCTCGTTGCAATCTCAGCATGTTACATTGTGTTGCGCTGTTCATGCATTGGCCCTAATTCCTTTTCACATTAAGCCTTTAATGACCCTTGAAATATGGGTCCTTGTGATGTTCAGTCCCACTCTGGGGTCCATTCATCCTGGCCACGTGTGTCACTGATTGTTCACTGATTTGAATGGTCTGCTGGTGAAGGTACTTGACCACGAGCTTGATTTGATTTTCTCTTCTAGCTGCGACACCAGCAGTGGAGCTTGGTGATGGAGAGTGTTGTGCCGTCGGACCGAGGGAATTACACCTGTGTTGTGGAGAACAAATATGGCAATATCAGGCACACGTACCAGCTTGATGTATTAGGTGAGGTTTTATTGCTTTCCCTCAACACCTGATCCGTGGTGATGGGGAACAGGCACGCAATGGGCTATGGAAAGCAGGATCTTGGTTTCTCTCCCAAAGGGCTGAATCGTGCGTCTTCTAAAACCCAACAACAAGCTTCCTTTCAGCCAACAATTCAGCCTCAGATCTGTGATTAATAAATTACTTAAATGGTCCATGGAGGAGCCAGAAGGAGTATCAGGACTGAGGTGCCTCTTCCATTCCCAAGTGGTCCTGTTTGACTTGAGAAGCACTGGGTAGAGCGGTGGCCACCACACCCAGGAGGGGCAATCTCAATCTGAACCCTTTCGACTGAAAAGCAAGATGAGGGTGTAGAGGAGAATCCTTTCTGGAAGAAAGGCAGTTAAATTAGGATTTCCCTCTCTTTTTTTTTTTTTTTCAGAAAGGTCACCCCACCGACCAATCCTACAAGCAGGGCTCCCTGCCAACCAGACCGTGGTGGTAGGGAGCAATGTGGAGTTTCACTGCAAGGTCTACAGTGATGCCCAGCCTCACATCCAGTGGCTGAAACATGTGGAAGTCAACGGCAGCAAATATGGACCCGATGGAACGCCCTATGTCACAGTGCTGAAGGTTGGTACATGCTCCTTCTTCTCCCCATCAGGGCAGTCTTTCCTCTGCCTTGGTCTCAGTGTTATTATTTAAATTAGATTTTTGGTAGCTCAAGGTCTCTTTTTCTGTAATTTTTATGTGTCTATAAGAAAAAAAGTCATGACAATAAGCCAAGGACAGCTGTTAGGATGGTTCTTTCCTTTAAGCCTGCACAGTGGAATTACTCTGCTTTTTGGAGGGGGTACAGCAAAAATGTCCTCAAGTTGGTGTTCCAGACTCTGCTGTTTGCCAGTGATAACACAGCTACTGTAGTGGCACAGATAAGCAAAGTATTTTTAAGGCATGATGCAACTGTGAAAAATGCAGCATAATAAAAGAGGAGCTGTCAGATTGAGTTTGACCCAAAATTACATAAATAACATTTTTTTTAGCAGCTTTAATAGAGGTGGTTTTGGGGCTTATTAAAATAAGAGTCCCAACTAAAACACATTGTTTCAACTTCCAAGTGAACACCCTGCAGCATGCACGTACTGAAAAATGCTGAGCTTACCAACACCTAAGAGCCAAGATAGTCTTGTTCCAGCCACAAACATTTGTTAGCATTGCTGTTATCCATGCTTATGAAAACATATTTTTTTTTAATTGAGCAAAAACTCACTTAATAAGACTTTGCTTAGCTAAAATGATTTTTGAAAGAGAACATCCAGATTACAGCCAGAACAAAGCCAGTGGGTATGGTTTCCACTCAACCTGTGCAAGTATAAAAAGTACAAAATAGTGAGTGAAAAGCACATTGGACTTTTAAAATATATAATTTTTTTACTTTTAATAATTAAAGGCATCCTGTGTTGGTGTTTATTAAAATACACAGGGCCAAATAGAGTTTTTCTGGCTCTGCAGTTACAGCTGAAAGCAGATTTTGTCCCTGCAGTTTCAAGCTGAGGTTGTCATCATTTCTGTGGACATTCCCTGAGCACATCCTACTGCACACACCCATCTTCTCTTTGTGTGAAGTTTTTTTTTAAAAAAAAAACACTTATCAGACAGCATCTACAAAACTGTAACTCAGCCAGATACATGATAATAAAAGCCAGAGACCCTGGAAATAATTACAGATTGAAATAACAGATTGGTTGGAAGAAGTGGCTGGAGACAGTTCTTCAGGATTGGCAAAATGCACTTCTCACGAGTTGATAAAACTTTTTATTTTCTCTCCGTCTCTCCAAATGTGTTTGAATTATGCATATTTGAATTTCCTCCTGGTTTCACAGCCCAGTACCGAGCTCTGAATAGCTGGCTGTGTCACATGCCATCTAGTATAGTCTCCGAGCTGTGTGTGTGGTCCCTGTGGGATAAAGTGCTACCTTTTGGAAGTTTGCAGACCTGCTGCGAACAGTGCCTTGTGTCACAAGTACAAGCTCCCATTTTGCTGTGGCAAAGAACATATAAATAGACCTTATAAATAGTGTTTTAAAATTAAGTTGGAGCGGCACCGGGGTGGCTAGGTAATTAGAATTGCCAAATACCTTCTCTTCTGTGGACGGCAAAGGCTCCGCATTCCTCGAAGGGGAGCACAGGCAGGCGTTTGAAAGCACCAGTTTTGTTTGGTTTTATTTTTTTGCTGAATAGGACCAGCACACGTCTATTTACTACTTCTGGTTAATCAGGAATGCTTTGAATTGTGTTAATGCCGGCATCAGTGCTGGGGCACAGAGCATTTCCATTTTGGGATGCATCTTTTGTGCGCCAGTACTGGGCCTCCACAGAGCTGTGTCAGACCCAGCTTTGCAGGGATTTTTTTTAATTATTTTTTTTTAATATGTTGTGTGCTTGTTTTTTAAAAATTAAGTCCCGATAAAATGATCTCACTGTCATCCTGAGGCCAGTCCATTGGCCTTATGGACTCAATTCCCTTTGTGCCATGCAGCATTGTTGCTTTGACCCAGCATCCTGGTGTGCTGCTTGGTGGAGCAGGGTGCTGTTAGCAGCCCTTTCCTGCCCACAACTGCTTTAGAAAAGGCTCTCTCCAGCCCACGGCTGTGGTGCCTACAGGGAGATAGGGCTTTTTTATCAGTCTGCACTTCCCTCCTGCTTTCAGGAGATACTGTGGAGTGTAGGAGCTGCTGTGGGGCAGTTTGTATATGAAGAGAAGTGCGGTCACCATCAGAGCCAGAGGGGGAAGGAGAGGTGCCCAGCACATTAAATCCCCCCTCACATCTAAATAGGGGGGTCAAAACACATCCCAGTCCAGATGGATAAGTTGAATGCTGTACTTTCAAGCCATTTTTCAAACAGCCTGACAAAACCAAGCCATCACCTGCATCAGTTCCTGAAAGCCTGGGCTAGTTTGTGATCAAAGGAAACCCCTTTTTCTTTGCAGAAGAGCATTAAATGCATTCCAGCTACAGAGGGGGTGCTGGCAACACTGTGCCCAAGCTTTGTCAAAGGCTAAATTGTATGTTCTGCATTGGAACATGCCTGGTTTAATTACAAACAATGCAGCAACAGCAGGCAGGCACATTTCTCCACTAGTCAGGACAGATAAACTCGCATAAGCCTAAGAGATGAGATCAGGTCAAAACTGGTGGTGTTTGTCATTAGACATGGACATGGGGGCTCCTCTTCAATGCCTCCTTTAGATTCAGTTCCTAATAACCTATCAGATCTGGCATCCCTGTGGATTTTAGTGGGCTGCAAGTCATATTGGCAGGATCAGGCCTTGAAATTGAAGGCACCATGACTGGGCTGTAAGATCAAAAAATGAGAGGACCAATTGTTTTCATTTCCAGAGCTGAAGGTTCTATTTTTTCTAGACTTTCCCTAGGCTACTTCTGAGACCACCCAAAAGAGTTGTGCATTTTCAACCAAAATAAAAACAACTGTTTAGAGAAAAAACTGATGTGCTGTTGTTGCAGCATGGAAGAAGAGAAATAAAACCCTTGCCTGAGAGTCTGAAGTTTGTTTGATTTATATGCACCACTTTATTTAGTAAAGAAGAGGCTCCTATAAGCAGTGGAAAAAATTACAGCTAATTTCTGAAAGGCAAAGTCAGCAGCGAGTTTCAGACCGCCACTGCTTATATTTTGTTTCCAAATTCTATTTTGGAATCTGATAATTGAAACAGTATTTGCTGAGCTGGGTTGCAAACACAGATCTCTGCTTAAGCCCGTTCTCTGGTGCTCCCGTCTGCAGAGTTGTTAAGAAATCATAGGGCTTTCGACTGCTGTCACATGGAGAAGTGGGAAATTGGTCTGTTTAAAAAAGACATTGCATGTGTGCTGCTAGTGTGCTGCTAGTGAAGGGACACTTGCACATGGTTTGGGGGCCAAATGCAACTTTTCTTCTTCACCCAGATCCTGGGTTAGCTCTCTCACCACAGGGTGAGCCGGGAATGTTGTCACAGCTGAAAAGAAAATAGCCATGAACAGTCAATCCTAGCTAATGTAGGTTCGATGAGGTGTTGTTTGGTTTACTGAAGTTCAGGTTTCTGTCTATTCCTGCAGTCTTGGATCAGTAAAAACGCTGAAGCCGATGCTAACCTAAATCTGTTCAATGTGACAGAACAAGATGAAGGAGAATATCTGTGTAGAGCCAACAATTTCGTAGGCATAGCCGAAAAACCATTTTGGCTCCACATTCGCAAACCAAAACCAGGTAAACCACAGACTCTGTCCCAAGGCCCTGGCAACTGCAAGAATGAGCTATAACATTTTTAAGAAGCTAGTGATTAAAATTACTATTCATTTTGTATTATACCCTGTCAACTGATGCTGAATGGCTTTATCTTATTTTCTTGCTAATTTTTTTTTTTTTTTTTTTTACAAGAATGTAACGCCTATACAGCAATTGCCATGGAAAAATTCCCACAATAAAATGACTGTCAAATTTTGCTATCAACTCTTCACACTTTTATTCCTTTCCCTTCCTTACAATTGAGTGCTGATAACAGAATTGCATGTTAATGGCCTGTGACGTTCAAAGCTCTGGAAAAAGAAGCCGATTCAAGATTTCACCTGTAAAACTGATACAGTCAGTACAAAGATTTTTGTCCATTGGAGAAGTAATGGTGGAATAAATATCAACAATGGCCCATGGAAGCAAACACACTGCATAGAGAGCAGCAGCAATCTCCTGGGCTCTGGGGTTTGACTCCAGCCAGGGATGTTTGCCTGCTATATTGTGGCAGTGGCACTGCAGGAAAGTTCCTTCAGGCTGGTACCTACAGGTACCTTCCTGTAACCAACCAAAGTGATATTATAGCATCCAGGGCTGTGTAATGAATATATGGCTTTGAGATGTCTGAAAAATTCTAAAAAAAAGTCTAAAATTCTAAATTTTACCATGAACTAGTGAATCAAAATGTTTGTATGTTCCTTTGATCAGCACTTGAGTCTTTCCCCACTACATCTCTCCTCCTTTCTCCTTTCTTTCTGTCTTTTCTCTTTTACCATCTTTCTTTCCCCTTCCCCTCCCCCCTACTCACCCTACTAACCCTGAGTCAGTCATATTGTGGGGGCAATTTTTCATTTGGATGCTTTTGCTTGCATGCTTCTTTAGTGGGACAGAGTAAGAACCTGGTGAAGGGAACTTTTTTTTTGCTTTTGACTACAGATTGCAGAGGGGAATTAATAAATAAATGTGGAAGATGGGCCATTGGAAAAAAACAAACAAAAAAACCCAAAACAAAAACAAAAACTGGACCAACCTTAATCTGCTTTTGAAGTTTGCCTGTGGTGTCTTCACACTTGCTGGGAATGTGGCTTATTCTCTGTTTTCCTTCTTCTATATGTGTGTGTTTTTTTCCCCTGTAGACGGCAGGTGTTAACACAACGGATAAGGAGCTAGAGATTCTGTACTTGCGAAATGTTACTTTTGAGGATGCTGGGGAATATACTTGTCTCGCAGGGAATTCTATTGGGTTCTCACATCACTCTGCTTGGCTGACGGTGCTACCAGGTATTTCCTTCTGTGCTTGTGAGCAGATAGGGCAGCAAGGTGAGCTGCTTGTTGGGGGGAGCCCCTTTTCATCAGATTTTGGTTTTCACATCCTTCCCTGGTGCAGTTCTTCACAATTAACTTTGGACCTCCTTGTACCAGCGAGACTTGATTTGATTTCCCTCTCCAGGGTACCTTGACGTTTTGCTTTAGAAATGCCAAGTTCCTGCAGACCACCCCTTCCTTGCTTGGAAGAGCATTATCCAGGGAGGGCCCTCTGGGATTTGCTGTGCTGGTGGTAAATCCACACAGCAGAAGACCTGAGTTGTTGCATATTCACAGCTGGCAGTTTTTGCTTTACATCTCAAGATTTAAATTATTTTTGCAGAAATTATACAAAACAACCAAGATATATATATTTTTTAAAATCTAGATAACAAGCAGGTGTTCATTGCCTGTTTTTTAGGAGACTGTTAAGAGACAAAATTAGGAGCTTTGTCTTCTTACACGACCAGTGGGAGAAGTAAACCTCCCCATCAGATGATCCAGGGCACGTAAATTGGACAGGGGACTGTGGATTGTCTTATGAAGGAACCTCTCTGTCTAACCTCATCCCTTAACCTAAAATTAGATGCATAAGTGGTTGGTGTGAGCACACCCGTCCCTGCCTGTAGCGTTATTTCCGCTTCACGGATGAACAGGCCAAGATAGCGATCTCAAACAGAAGGTCGAGGAGAGTCATCTGTGGAGAGAGCCCAGGAGTTCGGGCTCCCAGGGGCATTCCATGCTGCCTGCTCCAGCTGCAGTTGATGAAAGCTGCAGTGGGCTTGAAACCTGAGGCCAGAGTGACCTCAATTTTGTGGTCCTTTCATGTGCAAAGCTCTCATTGACAATGAAGCCAGCACAGAATATGCAACAGAGAGGTCTGCTCTCCGAGAGAGGGATGATGATGCTGTGCCGTCCCTTCACCTGCAAAATCTGCCTCCAGCTATGGGGGAGGCATGAGCATGGTCCAGGAAAGCACAAGCTATATTCTTGTTGAATCTCATAGCTACTGGGACTTGGAGATGGTGCAAGAACAGACCTGGAGTATGTTTCATAGACCTTTACTGAAAGGGCACCCAAAGTCCTGTACACCCCACTTGGGCTCACCCAGCAATAGATGGCACTTGGATCCATCTGGAAATGCATCCATCTCAGGATATGTTTAGGCACTGGAAACTTTGGCATTTCTAATCTTGGCTTTACCTGTGCAGGTGATTTGGATGTAATCACTTTACTGGGCCTCAAGAGGATTTCCTCCACGCCCAACCCTGCTGCCAGTGGGATCTTCTGGTCTTTTCTCTGTTTATTTGCCAGCTCTAAAATAGCTGATCTGATCCTGTTTCTGCTTCTGCCATCAGCTGGATGAGAAAACCTTTTGTTTGGTTAGAAGACTAGTGTCCCTGTTGTTTTGAGAACCTCCTGATACTGTCTCATCCAACTGTTACGGTGCTTTTACAATGTATGATCTCACCTCTCTTATTTAAGCAAAGAATTAAGCAGGAGAAAACCCACAGAAAAACCTGAAGTGGAACTTTATATTGAAGTCAGACGCGGTGCAGGGCCCGTGCAGCAGCAGGCCCTGAAGCCCTGGCCACAAAGAGGGGGCAGGACACAGCCCATCCGGGCAACCTCTGCTGGTTAAATCCCTGTCCACGCCAAGGAAGGAAAGACATGGAGCAGAGAGCGAGACGGTGGGAACCAAGGCACTGACTGTAGTGCCTGATCCCGGGAGATGTGGTGACCCTCCCCTGCAGGAGATGGCTGTTTGACAGGACCAGGTCCTGCGCAGCTGGCACACCGGCTGGTGCAGCTCCCAGGTCACTGGCAGCCCTTTCTCCCTGTCCTCCTGGACACAGCCACCGAAGACCTTTATTCAGAGCCTGCTGCTGCTGCCAAGGGCAAAGCTCCAGCCACTTGCTGAAGACGCTGCTTTGGGGCAGCTGTGATGAGCACAAGCCACTAGCGAGCTGACCTCACCAGCATGAATTCATTATAAAGTTTCCTACTGCTGACTGTTCCTCCGACACCAGCATGCCTTTGGGGGACTGAAAACCAGTCCTATCATGGCTCCTTCCTCTGGTTTGTGTGCCTGTCCTGAAAGGAATGAGGGGAGAAACATAGCTGAGCTTTGCTGGTCCCAAAAAAGCCTTGCTAGCAGGTAGTTGGCTGCTGATGGGCTCATGCCATCACCCTCCTGGCTCAGCCACCTCACTGGGCCAGACCTTCCAGCCCCTTCCCAGCAGAACTAAGTTTTCATGAAATAATTATGTAGATTGCTCTTGTGAGGCTTTTTCCCTGTGCAATGTCTTACGCCTGGATGCTATTCAGGCTCCTTAGTCCCTCAGGGCAGGCACTGGTCCAGTGGAAATCTTTGCTGGAGAAGCTGAATCAGCAGAGTGCAGCACACCCCAGTCCTGCAGCCTTTGCACATCCAAGGCATCCGGCTAGATGATATGGATGTGTGGAGAAAGCAAGATCTGGGGCAGAGGAACAGCAGAGATACATGAAGATGCCTCCAGCCTAGAGCAGTGATTCTCTACCTGTGGGCTGAAGGCTCTTAGAAACCCCAGGGCTGCATTAGAGGACAATAAAATTACCTCCAAAAAAGGCAAACTGAACTGATACAGCTACAGCCACAGGTGGAAAACCACTGGCCTGGGAGGGTTCCTATCTTCACTGAAGTCACACAGAAAATTGGCATAGATGAGCAAGTCCTCCCCAAATTCCTTATGCTGGATGTGTGTAGTTGTGTGCAGGCAGCTGCCTGCCCCATCCTGACTGCTGTCTCTTGTCACCCCCGCAGCAGAGGAGCTCATGGAAATGGATGATTCAGGCTCAGTGTACGCTGGCATTCTCAGTTACGGCTCTGGCTTTGTTCTCTTCATCCTTGTGCTGGTCACTGTGATTATCTACAGGATGAAAATGCCAAACAAAAAAGCCATGAACACCCCCACTGTACAGAAAGTCTCCAAATTTCCACTCAAGAGACAGGTAACAGAAAGTAGATACAAGATTCCTATTCCCCCCTATGGTCATCCCTCTCTAGTTTTTACCCCCTTGAAATTTTCTCTAGGTGAAAAGCTCTGCTAGAAAAACATAGTCCAAGAGGGACATAAGTTGGTTGCAGTCTAGGAGTTTAACACCCTTTTATTAATTTGTTTCTGTTCCAGTGGAGCAATAGCTGGTGGCAGCTGACTCTGGTTCATGAGCAGCTCCCAAGCAGCCACGTTTATGTGACCCTTGTCCAGGGCTGTCAGTGCACCTGTGGATGCCACAGAAAGCATATCTTGCAGGGAACAGTTTAGCCCAGGCTCCCTAGTGAAGTGGGAATTTGGGGTGCAAGAGCACGTTTAATTGTGCTCAATCCTGCTTTCACAGAGGTCACTGGTGACTTGAACCAGTTCTCATGGAGGTGGGAGGGCGTCCTCTTTCTCTGTGCTGTTAGGGATGCTCTGCCACCTGTAATTGCAGAGGGGCAGGAACGAAAGGCACTGTGTGAAACCACGTAGAAAAGGATATGGAATTCACAGTCTTGGCTGCAAGCTCGTGGTGGGCATTTAGAAAGTCAGGACAAGAGAAGTCTATGTGCTGGGGAGATGCATACACAGCAGCTGAACAGATGATAGCTCTTGCCTGCTGGGGGGCACTGGCTGGCCTGGCCTTCCTTCCACAAGCTCCAAACCTGCCCACAGGTGCCTAAATCAGTGCATTTCTGCAAGGAAGGTGTAGGGGGTGAGATTTCCCATTTGGAAATTGTAGGAAAGTTGTCAGTGGACAAAGACAGCTCAAACCCCTTCAGTGATCATCACCTGCTCTGGGGATACAGTTGGCAATAACACTTCATTTGCTCTACCCAAGCAGGTGTCGTTGGAGTCCAACTCTTCCATGAATTCCAACACGCCCCTGGTCCGGATCACACGTCTCTCCTCCAGCGACGGGCCGATGCTGGCCAACGTTTCTGAGCTGGAACTGCCTCCTGATCCTAAGTGGGAATTGGCACGTTCTCGGTCAGTCAACCCACAGGTCAGGGTCCCCTTGTTCCCAGCAGTGTCACCACCCCAGTACCCACTAACATGTCTGCTTGTTCCTTCCTCCAGCCTGACCTTGGGGAAGCCGCTCGGTGAAGGGTGTTTTGGCCAAGTGGTGATGGCAGAAGCAATTGGAATTGATAAGGACAAGCCAAACAAGGCCATCACAGTTGCTGTCAAGATGTTAAAAGGTACAGGGAGTCCATGGAGGGCAGAACAGCATATTGGGCTGGGATTTCGTCTCCTTGCCTCTCTTAAGTCTTTTATACAAGCAGATACAATAGAAGAAAGAAAGAGCAGCCTTTCTTCCCCCTCACCCACATAGCCTGGGGGTGAGGGCTGTCTCCTTGGAGAGCATGTAAAAGTGCAAATCCCCTCAGGAAGAGGGAATGGGAATTAACCCAGTTCTCTGCCAAGGGGTAATAGCATCCCTGAGAAGAAAGGGAAACCCCTTCGCTTCCAGCCAGCTCCTTGATCAGCCCATTCCATACTCCTCCCAGAACCAGCACTGCCTGTTCTAGCAAAAGCTTAGGCAGCAAACTCAGCTCAATTTTGCGGAAATCTGGTTGACAAACTTGTTCATGAGGGGTTTCTTCATTGAAGAAACTTGATCCCAAACTCCTGAGAGGTTAAGAGGCCAAAAATGGGCACCTTCAGATGAGTCTGTTTCCCATCCTTCCCCCACGCACAGGAACCACAGACAACGCACAGACAAAATCCCCCTAAGGAGTTCAGCTGGAGCAAGCAGGGCAGATGCTCCAAGAGTGAGCAGCATGGGTTTGAGGTTACATGGGGTGACAGCTTTATGAAAAAATGTAATATCATAAAAGGATTATTTTAATTTATATTCCTTTCAGTCTATTCTGAAGTTGGTTTTGGAAGCAGGATTGTTTTCATGTTTCCAAACCCAAGTATTTATTTGGGGAGGTTTCCCCCCATTTTTCTCCTTTTGTAGGAAAATTACAGATTTCCACTCAAAATACATTCCTCTCTGGTCCCTCACCCAACTCTGCCTTTCCCCCATCCATGAGTCCTTGCCCCTGAAAATGAGGGAGGGAAACAATCTGAAATGAAAAATGGTGCCAGGTACCAAAACTGACCTTTTTTTTTTTTTTTTACACTACTTATCAGAATGAAACAGAATAGGAAAGGTTTTATTGATTTCCATATAAACATTTCTCTCTTATCTATTTTGGTTTTTTGTCTTCTTGAACAAATATTCTCCTTTTTTTTGAGGTAGTATTTTTTGTTACATTAAAACAAACCCTGTGGTATTTTGAGTACTGTTTCCCTGTCAAAGCCCTGAGTGGCTACGCAGCAGCTGTATTAACAAGTTCACAGAACACTTACTTTCTTCCTGACATTTTTTTTGCTTTCCTCTCTTGCTTTCTCCAGATGATGCCACAGACAAGGACCTTTCCGACCTGGTCTCTGAGATGGAAATGATGAAAATGATTGGGAAGCACAAAAACATTATTAACCTCCTTGGTGCCTGTACACAGGACGGTACGTAGCAGAGTAGAATGGTGCTCACAGGGCCACGGGAGACTCAGGTGTGACTTCTGTGTTATTACTCACTGGTTGCCCAAAGTGTCCCAGATGAGACTTCAGTGGTCAGCCCAGCCCGCAGCTGTTCCTCTGTTGGATGCTGATGGTGCTCTTGCTTGCAGGACCACTCTACGTGTTGGTGGAATACGCCTCGAAGGGGAACTTGCGGGAATACCTCAGGGCACGTCGCCCACCTGGCATGGACTATTCCTTCGACACCTGCAAGCTGCCCGAGGAGCAGCTGACATTTAAAGACTTGGTTTCCTGTGCCTACCAGGTGGCCCGGGGCATGGAGTACTTGGCATCTCAGAAAGTGAGTTGAGAAACCTCATGTGGTAGAAGAGTTGATCAGACCTGTGTGTTCTAAGGCACGCAGTGCTCTGCGTACCTAGGACGACTCAGGCAGAGTGTTTCAGGCTTCTCACTTTAGAGACCAGATTCTTAGTATCAAGTGTCTTGAGTTTTTAGCAGAAGGCTTCATCCATGTGCAGAACTTCCCCTTTGTCAGCTGCACCCGTGAGCCACACAGCTGCACAGCCCTTGCTGTCACCTGCAGGCCTGTTAGCATCCCCAAAATGTGTACAAAAGTAACCCCAAGCTTGGTGCCTGTCGTCAGCAATTCAGCCTCTATCACTTGTAGGAGTAATTGGCTTTTAGATGTGCAGTCCCTGGCACAGCAGTGATCAGGGTGAGCGTCGCACCAAGTTGTGAGCTTCCACCATGGGAGCTGTTGCTTTAGACAACAGTCAGGAGCTGCGCACACCCCTGTTCCCCACCATCTTTCTTCTGAGATCACAGAGCACCCACGAGGAAGCCGAGGTCCTGGGTGTAGCTCAGGTGTTTGTGGCTGTCACCAGCACACGTAGGCTCGGTGGGAGCAGAGCTGGTGATGGGTTTGGCTTGATGTGTGGCCATGCCCAGAACACTCCCCAGGGAGCACTTCACTGGCACTGAGCCGGCTGCTGCATTTGCTTACATCATACCCTGGGATTAGTCCTGATTTACCCTAACATCAGCAAGTGGAGAATCAGGCTTTGGGTTCAGGAAGCCGTGCGCCAGCCAGCATGACCTCTTTTTGTGGGCAGGGAGGACTGGGGCAAGAGCAAGCTCAGCTTTGGATGTCAGACATGTTACCTCTGTGACTGCAGTTTAGGGTGGATGGTTTGTGATGGCTTTAAAGTCCCTCAGTGGACAATGCAGGTTAATGTAGCTTCTTTCTCAGCTAACAACTGGGGTGTATTTTGGATGTATTGAGGATGCCTTAGTTTGGTAAGCAGGGCAGAAAGGCAGCTTCACATCCCAGTAGGCACCCACAGAAGAGGGGTGATGGCTTTCTCCTCCATGCATCCCCTGTGGAGAGAGAAGGCGCGTGGCTGTGTCAGCGCTGAGGCTGCCGATGAGGTGTTGCTAAGAGGTGGCTCCCACCAAGCATGCACGACGGGGCAGTGGCAGAGGAAGCCAGGGGTGCCCACAGCTTTATGAGCTTGGGAGTCAATGAAACACAGCTCATAAACCACACGATGCTGTTGGTTCCAGGCGCGAGCAGCTAACGAGCCCTTATTTATTGACTTGCTCACCTTTCACAGTGCATTCATCGCGACTTGGCAGCCAGGAACGTGTTAGTCACTGAAGACAATGTGATGAAAATAGCTGATTTTGGCCTCGCTAGGGATGTTCACAACATCGACTATTACAAGAAAACCACCAATGTAAGTACAGAGCTGCCAAGCATGTGCAGTTCTCTTTCTGGCAGGGAATTTGGCCATCCTTGCAGCAAGTGGCCCTTGTCTCACATCTCTCTTTCTAGAGGGGCTTAGGAGGAAGAAATCTACTTGTGGCCTCAGCTAGTGAGGGGCTGTAGATAGGATAGTCCCAGGAGTCCACCGAGCATCCATTTTCTTGCTAAAAGATACTGCTGGTGCTAGCAGTGGGTTGAGATGTCCCATTTCTTCCAAGGAGGCTCTAGACTAAGAGATACCAAGTTTTTTTTTACCAAAGGGGAATGAACCCCCTTCTAATCTTCACTGCTACTGCTCAAAAAGGTCCCAAGGAGCCAACCTCTGGTCACAGCATAGGGGACTCTTGTTTCAGACCTCTGCAGCAGACATTGAGCTCTGAGCAAAAGCTGCAACTACACCGTAGTGTGGAGATGGCAGTGGAAGAGGTTGAGGACATTGCAGAACCTGAGCACCTTGAGACTGCAAGGGGCCTAAATGTCCAGGCAGTCTTACAAAGCCCACCATGCCCATGCTGATCCTCCCAAGTATCATGTTAGAAATCTTTCTTAATTGCCAGGATTTCTTAATCAAAAGTTAATAAAAATTATTGGGAATTTTAATTGTAATCAAAAAGATTTCTCCTGTTTGAGCTGTGTTGGACAGCTGAGAGCGTAATCCTATTTGTGCATCCTGCCTGTGTCCTTTCTCTGGTTGTCTCCTCCAGCAAGATAGTGGGTCAGGACAAAGCCAAATTAAAAATGAAACAGTCCTTTCCAAGTCCCTTCAGGGTCCAAGCAAAGCCCAGTAGAATTATGATTAATCTAGTCTGTATTTCGTAACAGCCCACGTTTATGACCCTAATGTAGGATGTTCCCCTGGAAAGCTGGGATCAAGCTTCCTCCTTTAGCCTCCAGCAGGATCAGGATTTGATTCTTAGAAGATCTGGCCCTTGTGTTCACTCTTGGAAGTTTCCCCTCAAGTTCAGCCTAAGCTGAGTTTGGAGTCAAACTGCTTCTTATTCCAACCAGAGACCGAAAGCATTGTCCTGTGCTCTGCTGCATTTCTGAGCAGTAGTTGTTGTTCCTATGCAAAGGTTTAGATGCTCTGATACGTTAAACCTGCTTTGGCAGTGAAATACAGTCCTCTACAGAGAGCATTTTTTGCAAATATTGTCAGCGAAGATCCAGGGATCAAATGGTCTAATCTGTTTATATATGGCCACTACTGCTTTGCCCAGTGACCGGGAAGGCAGATGTGGCTGTTAATGAAAATGTTTCAAACTGGATTAGAAAAGAAGATTCAGATGGTGCCATTGTGGCTGGGGGAATATGCTGATGGGGTGTTCCCATTGTCTTCCTAATTACAGGGTCGGCTGCCTGTGAAATGGATGGCTCCAGAAGCCTTGTTTGACCGGGTCTATACTCACCAGAGCGATGTGTAAGCATACCCACACGTTTTGAAAAAAATAAAATGGCAGGGAAATCAACACCTGTAGTATCTTAAAAGACAAACGTGCTGCTAAGCAGGAGCAGGGCTCGCTCACTGCTGGGGTGCCTGGGGATGCAATAGCAAATGAATCTATTCCAAGCTGCAGCTTTGCACACATGGTTTTATTTTATTGTTATCTAGTTGCTTTCATCTGAGGATCTCTAGTGAGCTGCTGCAAAATTATTGGAAAGCAGGCAGGTATTTCTTGTCCAGTTTATAGACGAGGAGATTCATCCTGCAGTCAAAGAAAAATGGTGCAAAAAACCAAAACCTCTATACAAAAAAATTACCCTTGGCTTCCTGCGCACTTTGCCCCAGTTAGGTTTCAACTGGTTACGTGGGATGAGCCTGAAAGATATTCAACAAATATATTCTGGGATTAATTTTGCTGTTTCATTTATTTGCCTTTGTTTTTTCTTAATCCTGTCATGTCTGTTTTAGTGCCCTTGCATGGTGAGCAAACAGCAGAGCTGCCTGTCGTGTCAATCTGTGTCACATCTGAACTTTGCAAGAGCTGAAGTAGCTCAGCACACACACCCACTTCTTTTAATTTTGGTATCTGGTCCATAATGGCATTTTTTCAGTAGCTCAACAGCCAGCCTGCCTGCTTCTCAAGGCTCACCACTTACAATTGAACCAATTAATCTTTCTGTTTCTTTATTTTTCACATACTTTGGCTTTTCTTGATCTTAAATCATAGTTTCCACGCTTAGGTAATGCTGCAGTGGGCACGAGAGATAAATCAAAGCTAGAGAATGGGAGAGTGAGCATGCGTGAAAGCAAAACAGAGACAGATAATCTCTGTTTTGAAAAAAGAAAATGAAAAAGGTAAAAGATATTTTTGAAAAAGAGGGCTCTTAACCAGAGCACAGCTGCGAGACTGAAGTGTGTAACATTAGTGCTCTGCTGATTTTTGTTGGGGTATTTTTCTCCCAGCTTGTCCGGTGAAATGAGTGTTGTAACAAGCAAGTTTTGGTATCAGCTTGCACAATTAGTGGCCTGTGGTTCCAAGCCTGCAATTCAGTGAAGCTGTGCATGAATAATTTGATTTGTTCCATTCAGTGGAGCTGGTGGAAGACCTAACAAAGAGCTAGGGGTAATAGATGGGCTGTCACCTATCTGATTAAATGCTCATTTCAATTTCAGACTTGGTGCCTGGGATTTCTTTGCTATTGAGTTGGATCAGCAGAGATCTCCGAGTAACTAGTAAAAATGGCCTAGGCAATTAGTCATGCTATTGATGACTTTGTTAGCTATGCATGGCTGCACAGAAATAAAGCTGAGCCGGGGAGGAAGGGATGTGGAAGGGGCTTGGAAAAAAACCTCATTGAATTTTAAAGATCTTTCTTTGGTTTCCAGCTGGTCTTTTGGAGTGCTACTATGGGAGATCTTCACTTTGGGAGGGTCTCCATACCCTGGAATTCCTGTTGAGGAGCTCTTCAAACTCTTGAAGGAAGGCCATCGGATGGACAAACCTGCAAACTGTACCCACGATTTGTGAGTGTGTGCTGGGGGTGACCTCCTTGTCTCACTTTCCTCTGGCCAAATGCCACCTTAGGCCATGGTTCAGGCTTGTGGACACCTGCACCATGAGGCTATGGAGCTGGCAGGGGGGTAGGTTACCCACCCCCTTGGGGTGGGTGACATTATTTACCCACATTTCGGCTCAGCCCTTGACTCATCTTGCGGGTGGCAGATGGGGCCACAGCTCTGGTGTGTCATCTTTAGGATGGTTCTTCCTTCTTCTTTTAGAGAGCAGACACACGTGAGGAGATAACCGTGAGGAGCATGGCTCCACAAAACCCTTCTCCTCCACACCAAAGCCACCATGGCTGGAGTTGCACTGACCATAGCTGTTTCCTCAGGCAATTTGGGGGTGGGGAGGGGCAGGCAGGCAGGTGGGTGCCTCTTACCCCCCACAGGAGTGACAGCCCCCTCTCCCCTCTCACGCAGGTACATGATCATGCGGGAGTGCTGGCACGCTGTCCCCTCACAGCGACCCACTTTCAAGCAGCTGGTGGAAGACCTGGACAGGGTCCTCACTGTGACGTCCACCGATGTGAGTGTGGTGGGTTGGGCACGGGGAGGGCAGGTTCCATGGCCCTTGTGGTGGACACTGAGCATTGATGGGTTTGTCACCCCGACAGGAGTACCTGGACCTCTCGGTGCCCTTCGAGCAGTACTCACCAGCTGGCCAGGACACCCACAGCACCTGCTCCTCAGGAGATGACTCAGTCTTTGCACATGACCTGCTGCCCGATGAGCCCTGCCTGCCCAAGCACCCCCCCTGCAATGGTGTCATCCGGACGTGAGGACACCCCGGACGGACGGACAGACGGATGGACAGGCAGTGTGCCCCACAGAGGTGCCAGGGTGGGACGCCAGTGATGAAACCACCGTGAAGGATCTTCCAGTGGAACTGTGGTGCTGCCTGGAGATGTGTGTTGTTGTTGTCGAGCTGTTCAGGGTAAAACAAACAAAAAAAAAAGGCAAAAACTTTTTATGTTTGGTTGTTTTTTTTCTTGTTTGGTTGGTTGTTGTTTTTTTTCCCCTTTGCTGTATAAAAAGTCAAGAAGCACTGTTTGGCCTGAAGGAACTAATCTCTTGCCAAGATGATCTATCATATATGATTGTTTAGTTTTGTTTATTTTTCATTTTTTGAGGATTTTTTTTTTTTTAACTAAGCAGAATGTTGAAGCTGGGGCTGCTGACCTTCCAGCCTCCGTGCTTGTGTTTCGAGTGCCAGAGTAGCCGTTTGGTGCCTGCAATACAAAGAAGAGGAGAAAAATCGTCTTCTTTTTTAAAAAAGAAAAAACATGAACAAAAAAAAAACACCACAAAAAAAACAAACGTGTAAAGAATGTAGAAATTCTTTGCTTATGCAATCTGTACATGAACCTTTTTGGTGGAGCTGAAAAGCCACGTTGCCTGCAGGGATTCATATATTTATAAAAATATCTATATTTTTGTTGTCGTCGTTTTTATAGCATCATGATCGTATTGCCCAGCTACATAGAAGGAATCCTTTTTGGAAGAAGATTAAAAATATATAAAAAAAGTAAAATACAAATCATCGTGGAGAAAGGAGAGAGAGGAAAAAAAAAAAAGAAGATAAAAAGAGACAGTCAAGTGGAAGTGGGAGCAGACCCAGGGATGGGCAGAGCTGGCGGTGGCTGAGGGGGTCCCCTGGCAAGAGAACATCACCCATCTGAGAGAGCAGGGCACCTGGCTCCTTGGCTGCCCATCTCAAGCCACATTGTGACCTTTGGGAACAGCTGGTTTTGGGGAAAAAGAAGTCGGTTTTGCATAGTTTTGTTGGCTGAGGAGGAGTGGAAGGGGAGGGGAGCAGCTCCTCTAGTAGCCCCTCCACGCCAGCGGTTTGGCTCCATCTACGTGCAGTGACTTGGAGAAAGAAGTTACGGGTACCTGTAGGCAAGAGCCTTTAACTTATATCAAAAAGGTTTATTCCAGAGAATCCTTGTATATATCTATAAATATATCCTGTATATATATATACATAAATATATTAAAAACAAAAAAAAAGAATGTATAGTACTAAATGCAACATAAAGCAGTACTGAGAGAGAGTCTCAAAATCCAAGCATTGCAATCTAGGATATACTGATCTGGGGGAAAGAAGAGATTGTTTGTTTGTTTGTTTGTTTTATATCTTCACAGTTTTGTTTTAAAAATTGTACCTTAACATGTATATTTGTAAAGTTATTTATAGACATTAACATATCTGTTCATCGGTTTAAATAGCGTAGAGTTACTGTAAACTTTAAATTTCACCGAGTTTAAGGGTGTTTTTTAACTTATTAAAAATGGAGAAAAAATATATTAATCAGTTTTTCTTTTGTTTTTATGGGAAATATTGAAAGAATGTATAGGTGTACAGTCCTTTAACAAATTACATTTAATGTTATAAATATATATATATATATGTATTTATTAAAAGAAATATTAGTTTATCCTGGATTGCAGTGAGCAAAAAGTAAGTTTATTTTTTAATACGTCATCAGTGGTTAAAACCAAACAAATAGCAACAGAGAGATGATTTTTACATATTTCAGAAAAACAGGGCCAAGAATTCTTCCATCAGTTTAACCACTGTGCATTAAGGGGGTGTGGGTGCTTATATTTCTATTTTCAAATGAAGGTATCCTTTGTGGTCGATTTAATAACAAGTATGCGGCAAAGCAAAATGTTGACTTCGGATGATGTGGGGTGATTATTTTTTATTCCCCTCCTTTGCCAGTACCGTTGTGTTTTGGGCTTCAGAAATGCCATGTGAGCAGAGTAGCAAAAAGAGAGTGACACTGTGTTGGCAGGATAGGTGCAACGACTGCGCATTCCTTTTGCGTTTAACTCACTGGAAAATGCCAGTGATGCCTGATTTTCTGTGTTGAAAACGCTGTGCTGGTTTGTTCCTTGATGCCCTATAGCTGTTCAAAAGCACAGGAGTGAACTAGGGAATTTTAGCACGGATCAAGCTGACAAGGGGGATGGATTTGGGCTGGGGGGG